AGGTTTTTATAGGAGGTTTATACAGAACTTTTCATCCATATCCAGACCCTTGTGTAACCTTCTAAGTAAAGAAGCCAATTTTGAATGGACCCCAGAATGCCAAGAGGCATTTAAAACACTGATTAACAAGCTCACTTCTGCACCGATCATGCAACCACCTGATTGGTCCCTACCGTTTGAAATTATGTGTGATGCTAGTGATTATGCGGTAGGTGTTGTACTGGGACAACGAAGAGAGGGTAAGCCTTTTGTCATTTACTACGCTAGTAGAATTCTTAACAGTGCTCAGATGAACTATTCCACAACTGAAAAAGAGCTACTAGCTGTGGTCTTTGCACTCGACAAGTTTAGATCCTATTTAATAGGTTCTCCCATTACAATTTTCACAGATCATGCAGCCCTTAAGTACCTTCTTGCAAAGAAGGATACTAAGGCACGATTAATACGGTGGATATTGCTTTTGCAGGAATTTGACATCACCATCAAAGACAAGAAAGGAGTGGAGAATGTCGTAGCAGACCACTTATCAAGGCTAACCTTTGAAGATACTACAAACACCTTGCCAATAAGAGATGAATTTCCAGATGAAAATTTATTTTCTGTCTCTTCTTTACCATGGTTTGCTCACATTGTGAACTACTTGGCTGCAGGTGAAATCCCAAAGGAGTGGAGTACAAAGGATAAGAGGAAGTTTTTGGTTCAGGTACGTAATTTTTATTGGGATGACCCATGTTTGTTTAAGTACTGCCCCGACCAAATATTAAGACGTTGTGTCCCCAATGAAGAAATACCTAGCATACTTAGTTTCTGTCATACTCAAGCATGTGGTGGCCACTTCTCTATAAAAAAGACTGCTGCAAAAATTCTACAATGTGGTTTTTATTGGCCTACCTTGTTCAAAGACACTAATACCTATTGTAGAACCTGTGAAAGATGTCAAAAATTAGGTGCCGTGTCTCGACATAATATGATGCCTTTAAACCCCATTTTAGTGATAGAAGTGTTTGATTGTTGGGGGATTGACTTTATGGGCCCCTTTCCACCTTCTTTTGGTTATCTATACATTATTGTGGCAGTGGATTATGTGTCTAAATGGGTAGAGGCGGTCGCTTGTAGAGCTAATGACAATAAAACGGTTATTAAATTCCTCAAAGAAAATGTCTTGTCTAGGTTTGGTACACCACGTGTCATTTTTAGTGACAGAGGCACACACTTTTGCAACCGTTCATTCGAAGCACTAATGAAAAAATATGGAGTTATCCATAAAATCTCTACTACTTACCACCCCCAAACTAGTGGACAGGTAGAATTGGCTAATAGGGAAATTAAACAAATTTTGGAAAAAACGGTGAATCCTAATCGTAAAGATTGGTCTTTAAGATTAAGTGATGCACTTTGGGCTTACTGTACTGCTTTTAAGACTTCCCTAGGCATGTCACCATATAGACTTATTTTTGGAAAGCCTTGCCATTTACCTGTGGAGCTTGAACACCGAGCATATTGAGCTATTAAACATTTTAATTTCGACTTAAAGGAGGGAGGTAAGCTTAGGAAATTT